GCCGGCAGCGTGGGGCTGGCGAGAGAGCAGCGGGGCCGCGAAGGGAGGCATGAGGCTGGCTGGCTCCCAGGGTTCCTCAGCCAGCTGCCGGGGAACCAGAGGGGCACATGGGTCGGGGCGTGGGCTGGCTGCTCTCACCTCTCAGGACGCCTTCGCTTCGGCCCCAGGGCTTTGGGAGCCGAGGAGGACGGCTTTGGGGTGCTGCCCGGCGGGAGGGAGGAGCCCTTCACGGCGAGCACAGGCATCGCAGCTCTGAATGCAATGGGACAACAGGTTACTACGTGCGCTGAGGCAGCCTCAGACCGAAGCGCAGGCCCAGCTGCCCCGGCCTGGCACTGCCATCTCCGAGACACTGGAGAGGGCCGGTGTCTGTGCAAGAGCGCCTCCTGACGGCGGGAGCGAGGGCCTCTGCGTTCGGGAGGCAGCTTCCCCGTCCCGACCTTACAGCAAGGGCAGGGGCTGGCTGTGCCAGGCCAGTGGGATGAGCCTGGAATGGGATTGAGTCTCCTAAAGCCCCACGGAAGAGAGACAATCACCAGGCAGGTGAAAGGGGCTGGCTGGGGCGCCCCACCCCTGGGCCTCCCACTCGCCAGGCACCCCTTGGGGGGCTGAAACTCCCCCCCTCCGACTGGTATGGGCACATCGCTGGCTTTTCCTTTGCTCCCTGATGAAGGGGAAGCGCCCCGCTTGCTGCATTCCTCGCTCTGGATGGAGAGTGCAGGGGCAGCTGAACCTGGAACACGCGCCCCGCCCCCGGCTGTGCCCGCTGGGGCTGCAGCGGCCATGGAGAGGTTCTTCTCCCCTGCCCCCAAGCTGTGGCGGTGAGAGAGGCTGGGCCTGTCCTCTGCCCGGGGCAGCCGGCACGTGAACCCGCCCCGGAGCACTGATTCGAAGGCAACACGGACACTTGCGTTTCATTTCCAAACCCCCCCACTGCGAGAGGAGCTCCCTGAGGAGGGCGAGGCAGCGAGTGTTGAAGGCAAGTTAGCCCTGTGGGCTTCCGGCACCACTAGCGCACAGTGGGGCTAGAGCGGCTCCCCCCCCCGGACGGCCGGGACCCGTGGCACGGGGGGCGCGCAGGGCCACCCCC